TGCGCTTTGAAATGAAACAAGAGTGACTCTGGAATTCAGCACCTGTTGTGAACAATTTCCTGGCAAGATCTTCTTGTAAACAGCTAGCACAGTAAAAAGAGAATCCCAGATGACTATTCTGCCTCTTCTCATATTGTAAAGACACAATTAAGTGGGAACAAAGGGGTAAACAAACATTTACCTGGGTTTAGAAAAATATTTACGATATTTGTGCTAGAAATAGTTAAGCCAGATAAGAATATTTATCCTAGAAATAACTAATACTAAAAAGTGATTATAATAAAAAAGAAAAATGAGAAAAAGAAACCTAAAACATTCAACATACATTAAGGTAAAATAAAGTAAAATAAATTCAGCCAACTGGTTATTTCCATATGTGTGGATTTCTTTAAATAGTAATGAAATCATTGCTAAAAAAATCTATTGTTATTAAAACAAAAAAGTTGGCTCAGCCCACCAAAATTAGATTTGTAAGTTGCTGGTCATTCCCATAATTAAATCTGTGTCACAAATTTGCAAGAAAAATGGACACTATGACTAATGCATTTACTTGCTGCACTAGTGCTGTCAGGCTGTGTAAATCATTATGCCTGCTAAAGCAGAGTAGGTAAGAATGCCATACATTTTCATTAACCAACTAGGTTTTGTGTGTATGTGAGAAACTAACTTTTATATTCCCTACTAGCTTTAGCTTTCATTTGAAAACAATGTCATTAAAAACACTAGCCTTGATTTGATCAGCCAAGTGGCTGCTTCTAAAAATTATTTGAGTTTTGGACAATACAAACCATCTCTATTGCCTTTGAAAGATGGTCAGTTAAAACAACAAACAATACATCCTTAATTTGGACAAAGGACGTTAGTGAAACGATAGGCACTTTGACTAGGTTCCTTCCTTCTGAGTGATTTATGTAGCCTGAACACATGACTTATTTCACCCCCTAGGTTTCAACAAAGAAAGCTAACCTATTCCTAGACAGCACTGGAAGAAGTCTCAACCAACACTTTCATTTTTGACCACCCTCTGCTCTGTTTTCTCAGGAATGCAATGGTCACCAGAGCAGAGTCCTCTGAGTCGATTTCATGTCACGACGGACTTTCACATCTTGGTTACAGTTTTGTTTAAGGTGAACCTGATGGCTGTTCCTTTCACACTTACTGTTCATAACCACAAGGCACCAAAGAATTTGACAACTGGCTCACATCACAACCTGGATACTCCTCTATTTCCAAGCCCACTCTCTCAAGCAGAAAGGAGATTAATGTGTGGAAAAAAAAAGATTATACAAGACTGTTTCTAGTCTAGCAGTGCAGAGCATTTTGAGGATGTCCTCTTCTATGCTTTAGGCCCTCTCCTTCTTCCATGCACGTGGCACTATATTGTCACTGTAAACTGAGTTTAACTCTCAATTGAGCCTGTGTCTCCACTTCAGTGCAAGAACAGCTCAGTGATGGGCTATGCCTTGCTGAACCTGAAGTCGAACGAGCTGAGCCACTCAAGCAAACACCATGGAACAATCATCAGTGAAACAAGTTTTGCAGTATCCTGTCTACTGCTCTGCCGTTTAGACATTAACAAGCACAACAAGCTGTTGAAGCACAACTTGTAGGAGCAGACTAGAAAGGCTTAGGAAGCACAGTAATGCATACATTACTAAGAATCTCAGCAGACCCATACTTAACAACCCAAACAATTTCTTTAGCCTTGAGGTGCAAAATCATCCTCTCCCACACAAGTGGAAGCAGCTACCTCAGTGCTTTCTTTCCCTCAGCAGACCTTAGTATACATTTACATGCTTTACAGTAGCAACCTTGCTGATAACCAACCAATCAGTATTAGTAAAACGCTACCAGATTTTATTAAAGCCCCATTAAATGGAAAAACTCAAATCACTTATTATGTTCCACAATTATTGTAAACCAAACTGTTTAAACAAGGGGAGGAGATAATGATGTTAAGTACCCAACTCAAAGCAATCCTCAGTGGTATGATTCTAAATATCCTCTTGGCTGAAAATTATGTAAATTGAATTCAACTATTGTTAGTTATTACTAATCTAACTACATATAAATCCTTTTCTGTAACAATTAGTTCTTTAAAACACTGTGTTTTAACTAGACCCAGGACATTATTAAACTAAGTGTAAATATGTACATATAATTCCATGCATTGTTTTGCCTGTATATTTATAGGAGTATAGGCTTTGGTGGAATTTAAAAGGAATTACTTTGTGATTGGATTGGTATTTTTTTGTAAATCTCCTTACCAGTGAAAACACCTCCAGATGTTTAATATAAGTGTGTTTCTGCTTATCAACACATATTTGGCATTTCTGCATTTTGCTTACCACAATGTGTTCCATTTCATCTAAATAACTCATCTCAATATCATACTAAAATTAGGTTCTTTTCCTTCAGACATTTTGACCCATGGCTTATTTTTCTCAAGGCCCATTTTCTAGTCTAAAAAAATGAGTAAAGAGTTAAAAAAAAACCAAACAACATGCCTCCCACCCCCCACCCCCCCCAAAGGAGTTAAAAGCCTAGCACATCTTTCAGACCTTTCAAATCAGTTTGCTTCTCACTATCATACACAAGCACTGGCCCACAGGACATAGCCTGAGACACACAACAACATAATGCCCTCCTGGCTTTTTCAGGGCTACACACAAGTGCAGCAATCTGCCCATGTGCTACACACTGTAAGACAACGAACGTGAGAAACACTGCAACCTTGCCAATGGTCAGATACTTCCAAATTATCTCTAGGACATGCATACGGTTATAGTCACAAAAGTATACAGCTACATCTAAGCCTATCCACAGACAACACATCATCAGACCAACAAGACAAATACAAATGTGATTTAGATTCATCATAAATTAAAGATACAGGAAATAGGATCTCTACCTATAGCCAAGGCTGTAAGTTAAGCATCAATATAAACTGATGGACTACCAAAAACATTACCACAAGCTTCCATTATTTTCTCAGAAACAGGCCAATTATTCTTATATTTTATAGAACAGTTTAGTCTTCAAACAAGAATATTTATTTATAACTCACCAGTTGTCCACAGAAAAGTTACAAAGTAAGTGACCCCATGCTAGTGACATTCAGAAGCCATTCTATTAAAGACCAAGTAGACCTATAGCACAGTGAAACCGATAAAGAACTCCAGCTACTTATTACAGTCCCTGGCCTACCATCAGCCCGTTCTTTATAATTTTATTTTGTTAAGCAATCAGTAATTAGGAGAGAAAAAAAAAAAAAATAATCAGCTGGTCCTGTGGTTTGATTCTAGCTAATCTTCAATATTCTTGAAAAGTTCTTCCTGGAAATTTTTTAACAAGAATGTTTTCTCCAATGCTGCTCCAAGATTAAAAAAAAAAGCAAAATGAGGTAATTACATGTGAATAGAACTTTCCAATGATTAACAGAACTAAGATTAAAACCAAAATCAGAAGTATTACATGAACATACCAACTAGCTCAGCTTCTTTAACTGAGATTTCTTTGCAGAAAGAAGAAACAAGTTCTAAAGATTAAAATATGTTTATGTTGTTTTACCAGGAGCCAGCATTGTAGTCAGATGTTCTGGGGCCTAAATTCTTATTTTAAGTCAAAAGACATTCTCTTAATGACAGCTGAACTGAGGCCTTTGGCTATTCAAGGAAACCTCCTGAACCAAAAGCTAGGGACAGCAGAGAAACAGGAGCTTGTGCCAAAAAATGAGAGAAAATACCATGCACATACACAGACTTAAGAGTTGCGCTGACACTGGGATTCCACAATTTGAAGCTGAAAGAACCTCCTTCCCATTGGAAGAGGACATGATAGGTGACAAAAAGGAGTAAGTATTTGGGAATTGATATTTTAAAAATCTGAATGGACATCTATACCCACAAAACATACATCCATCCTCCTGACCTTAAACCAGTCCCGCAAAAAAGCAGCAGCACAATGCATAACTTCAAAATGCCATGCAAGTTTCTCTCTTGGCAGTACGGTTTCACATATTTAAACTCCAAACTCCAGCTTTTCATAAAATTAATATGTCTAAAGTGAGTTATTTTGTACTTGCAGTTTTCATTTTAATTTCCTAATTTGAATTCTTTTGTCATTCATTCATTTTCTACATAATAGTCTTCCTCTTGGGGACACTAGACTGGAATCACAAACACACACATCTAAACATGCACACTTCTAAGCACGCACAAATTTAAAAAAAAAAAACAAACAAATTCAATTATTAACTGCATAAACAAAACAGTCACAGTAGCTTACCCACACATAAAATAATTAGTATTTAATATTCATTAATGTCTCTCTAAACGTATCAAGAAATCTATTCTTTCTTTCTTCATACAGACATTTATTTAGTGTTCTTTCTGAATCTTTGTAGACCATTAGGCCCACAAATACTGGTTTTGCTTTTTTACAGAAATGGTTATATTTCCATCTGGATTGATTGCTTTCCCATATCTAGCTATTTTAGTGTACTCCTCAGAGACACTGAGTGGCTTCACTGACAGTGAAATATGCTAAACAAATGACAAGTCACTGAGTAAATTAGCATCTACTCTCTGATCAGCTGGGTCATGTTTTCTTTTCAAAATCCATGGCCTCTTGATAGAAAATAATGAGTATTTGATGGGGCTTATTAGAAAAATCAATATATTGATGCTCATGTCTGAAACATCTGCATAATAATAGATTCTGTTAACCCATTAAGGAGAAAATTAAGATGTGTTTACACATTATTAATTTATCATGAGCAGAGATAATTTATTCACTACTCTTCTCAAGAGTTCAACAAAAAGAAAAGAAAATGTAGTATCTGTATTTAATGGCATGGTGACATAAATTGAAAGGTGATTCAAATTTTTGCCAGCTAAATGGCACAATTCCACCAACACTAATGTGAAGAATACAAACACACGTGATACTGTTAAATATAAGACTATTAAAGCACTTGCTATAAATTCTGCATTACTTACCAAAAAACTTCCAAAAGCGGAATTAAATATAGCAGCTGCCTGAAGAGAGAAAAAGACAAATATCAACAATGGTAAAATAGCGACAGTACAAGAATAAAATGTTACTTCCCTGCCCAAAAAAGCTATTAGATTCTCCAAAGACACACATACACAGACACCATTAGGAGTTAGCCACTGCTTAAAAAATTGCCAGTGGCCTGTAATTTATGAAAACTGATAGATTTGAGTTTATGCATTCATAAATAATTGCTGAAATGGACAAAAGCAAGAGGAGAGGAAAACCCTTGCTGGTAGACTTAAGAGGAAACATCCAGAAGAACTAAGAATATTACTACACAGCAGCTTGGGCTCACTGCTTTTGCTTTTATTTGGCAGAAGCATTTTTACATATTTACCATTAATCAAAATAAATATAATCTGATTTAACTAAATTACTGCATTTTCAGATATTTTTAACTATTTTAATGGAATAGTCATCAGGCAAGCAAACCAATTTAATTGTTCATCATAATAAAGTATTGACAAAGTCAGGCATTTCTGCAAATTTAAAATAGGAACAACAACAACAAAAATACCCCGAACATACAAGAAAACTACTCACAATGACCCCACACTTCTGAGGCCAAAATGTTTATTCCATAAATTCTTTTAAAATAAGGAAATAAAAAATTTTGATAATGACTTTAGAAGTGTTTGTCCTTACCTAAATATCCAGGAAATACAAAGTAGCAGTGTTATTTCTTAGGATTAACTCTTTAAATTCCAGGAAGTTCAAACCTAAGTCTTGAATACTAGTTTTTTCCCATTTACCAAGAAAGAACAGAAATCCTTGTATGGCAGCCAGTCTGATGATGAAAAGCCACACAGCAAAGGTAAGAGGAATGGAAGGAGGGAAATCTACCATTTACTTGAAGATTTAGAGCAGAGTCAAATTAATCACCCTGGACACTTCCAGCCACATATTAATAACAAGTGGATGCTAGCAAGTTTAGCAAGTTTGAATAAAGTCCAAAATCAGGGTAGGAGCTGTAGCTGAACCTGCCTTCTGCTCCATAAGAGGATGCAATAAAAATGAATGGGTAATGAGATCCTTAGCTCTAGAGAGCTTAGCTTTCTTATTCAAGTTCATAATTAATTCAAAGCTTTGATAATTTCATTAGATTCCTCCTCTGCTGGCCCTATCAATAAAAGATGGCACTGGACCACAGCTTCTCAGTGGCCCAAATACAAAAACAAATGCAGACTGGGAAACCTTTGCTGACTTGCTTACTAACAGGGACAATGGCATATGGCACTCCATGTTGCGGAGGGAGCATCTGAATAGATATAGCTAAATAAAACATTATAGTTGACAGTTGTAAAGTACAATAACATATTTTAACATCTCTTCCTCATCAGTATTCCTTTTTTGAACATAAAAAAAAAAAAAAGGCACAAGTCCAAACAGCTCCTCTTGCCAGAGATCACAGCTGAAAGCCAGAGCGAGTACTACTTAAAACAATTCTTCAACAAGTGTGAATGACATCAGGATTTTCTACTTGTATTTGAAGCTGTGCAGCTGATCCTTTCAGGTGGCAAGAGAGAGACACATTACACCCATGCACGCAAACCTAATGCAAGGGATCAGTTTCAACACAGGACACGTCCTTGCAGGTATCTTTTGTTAATAAATTCCTTTTAAAGCTGCTGTTATTATTATGTTAATAAAACCTGTCAGGTTTACCAAGTCTCTTTGGCGTTTGCTGGGCACGTGCCATTCTTACAGACTGTATTTCACCACTTCAATCTGGTCCCTTTTATTACACCCTGTCTCTGAATCAATGAAGGAGGATGTAGACTTCCATTTTTAAGCATACTTGAGGATCTCTTCCTTGCAAAATAATCTTTGCTATATAAAACAGTGTAAATCAATTGTGAAGGTCTGAAAGACAGAAGCATCTGAGCTTCACTTCTGCAGCAGAAAGCTGGGAGGAAACTTAACGGTCCCCTCCACCCCATGAAGATTTTGTGTGCAGTGACAGCTACATTTCTGCCTGCTACCAAGAACCTTATTACTCACCCTTTTCAGGAAAGCTGGCGAAGCCCATATAAAATGAATAGAGAGTGTAAAATAGCCCTTCCCTCCCCAGCATGCCAAACTTATCCCCCCTGTCTCAAAAATATCTGGCTTTACCAAAAGTTGGGTTTCGGCCAGGCTTTGCTTGCAGTGCAGGTGAGCCTACCAGACCACGTCTACCAATACTAGAGAAATAACATCAGTTAGGCAGCCCTCAACTGTTTCACTGGTCATTTCAACAAAGAAGAAAGCAGTAGCTAGAAAGAACTGATACCCTCAAAAGGACACACTGCATCTAGTTCTAGCTACATTTATAGACATGAAAATTTTTACCTAAAATATGCTGCAATTCCACTTCCAGGAGTGCACCTGGAAAGGTAGTAGGGAGAGATTCTAGATAGTTCTGTGGTGGTGATACTAGATGGTGCTATTTTGGCCATCAACAAGCTTGTCTTTTTACCTTCCTGATCCACCCAGAAGAATTCTGATTTTTTAATATTCTCAAGAATCTAACAGGTACTAAGACAACAATCTCAGATACATTTTATGCTTTAGGTTTTTGGCCATCATGTGCAAAGGTCATAATTCACAATGGTCCAGGTGTACACTAGTTTGCAATTTTTAATTCCCTTTCTCCAATATGTCAGAAAACTTTCATGGCAGCTGATTTAACGCTCATTACAGGCAAGAGAAATAAAAACAAATAAAGCAGGAAGACTGGAAATTAAGCTATAATCATACAGATGATTTCCCTCAATGAGGGAGAACTTACACATGTCAAGTACTCTACTTGCAGTTTTCTTTATAAACATTTCCCCTGTAAAATAAACTTAAAAGCAATCTTTTCTGATACCCACAAACCTGTAGATTATGTTTGTGATTCTGGTGCAGCTTAAAGAAACCTGTAGTAAACTGAATCAACTGCTCTAATTTGTAATTAAATGTACCCTAGTACATGACCCTGTAGAATTTAAACACTGTGCGCTTCCAACTCCCTTCTATCAAGAGGGATAATATTGCCTACATACCTCACAGGGCATTGTCAATATTAATTCATTGCTTAAAAAGCGCTCTGACATCCTTAGAGGGATGATACAAATAAACATTAGTGCTGACACACGATACAGCTAGGCTCCTCATTTGCTATTTGAAACATTTATTAGTCGCTATTATTGTATAACTTCTTTAGTGTTTGCTCCTTTTGCATGTCAACAGATATCAGACTATTTGCAGTCAGCTTAAATGAAACAATAAAACATGAAAACATTTACATGTCCTTATAATACTCCAAGTTCAGATTTGCGTGTGTTTGAAAATAGTTCATTGCACTTACGATTAACATGAGTGGAGCAGTCTCTATAAAATCAGTAACACGATCCATTCAAAAGGTAAATGCATGTACTGAAAGGTCAGACCACATTCAAAAGCAGTAGTAGTAACAACCAGGCCAATTATTCAAGTTTACATCAAGTCAGAGACAAGACTGAAAGTCACTGCCAGTACTCTTAAACGGGCTAGTGCAGAAGAGCATGTATGTCTCCCCTTGAGTTTAAAATAGGACGCACTAGCTCCACTAAACAACAAATTTTGTTAATATTCAGCAGATAAAATTTCAGTCAACTCTGTATGTCACTGGGATTGAGGGAACTCTCCCGCTGATCTGTAATTCCAGGAATGATCATCTAGCCTGGAGCACTTTCCAGTGAGAAGTAAGCAGCCCACCTCTGAAGGAAACCTATCTATCAGAAACTTTCCTTTTTCCATACCCGAACCTAACAAAAAGCTTTTTGGTATTGAACCAACCTAAAGAAAAGCTTTTTGGTATCGAACTAACCTATTCTGGAATTCATTAGACTAGATATTTTTTGATAATAGCATAGCAGGACTACATTAAAAAAAGAGAAAATGATACACTGGCAATACATGAAAAATCTGTGTCAAACCCCAACATTTTATCATTATCAACAGGGTTTGTACGAAATTTCCATGCACACCTCAGCTGGAGCTGTAGTTTTCTTTACTGCAGAGCCACAGGGAAACAAGGTGCCTCACGGCTTTATATGTGGCCTATATGAAATAGTAAAAGGCTTTTTCACCTATAAACATGCTTTTAACTCTAAAATGTTTGATTCTTGAGTGTCATTTGGCAGCCATTAGGGAGGTAACATTCCTAAATATACTTAACCCTGTGCTTACCCCCAGGCACCCCACAGCTGAGAAAGCACATGCTACATACATTAGGACCTGCCTGGCCCCAAGTCACCACCAATCTGTGGAAAGGACATTCCAGGGCCAAGGCCGCAGATGCAGAGCAATGAAACTAAACAGAAGGAAACAACCTAAGCATCATGCAAAGCTGCTCTGTGTATACCCACCATTACCTGAGGTTAAAACCTTACCATTTTCAGACAGACATGCACTAGTAGGATATACAGCTCAAGTACTAGGCCCAAGACTAAATATCCCATTTAACACGCATAGCACAATGAGGAAGAGTAGAAAAGAACTGAAGAAAGACAAGTACTCAAGCAGTATTACTGCAGGATTATGCAGTAGAAGGCATAGAACACAATGTGGTAGTAGAACATTTCATAGTGTCCATGTAATTAATGCAAAGTGTAATAGATATATCTCCTATTTAACAGGGGGAAGAAAACAATTTTAAGAGAAAAAAAAAACTGCAGTGATGGAAATGGTTTGACCAAACAGCACAGGAAAGAATATCTACCCAAAGAGATCAGTGTAGATCGAGAAGGTGGAGGAAGAAGGCAGAACGTCAGAAGTAGCTTGAATGAGTTGGCAGAGTCCCTTTAAACAACTCCTTCAATCTCCTATTTAAAAATAAAAACTCAAGTGAGTGTTACTGCAGCTCATGTCTTAACTGCTCTTTCCATTAATAAGATGCTACAGCTCTGTAGAAAGCTATTTGCCACAGCACTGTTACTGCAAACAGAATATAAATATACCTAATAAGGTTTAATCT